TGTGTATCTATTTTACAACGTTTCAAAATCAAAGGTTATGTGTATTTTTTAAAAAAAAAAATACCGATCAAATCGTGTCAAAATATCAGAATGGATGAAAGTATTTCGTAGAAAATCTTTCATGAAAAGCTGTTGGTTTGCTTAGGTTAGTTTTCTGATGGAAACATTAAATATGATAGGAGATTTGTAGCTACGCACTTGGAAATACGTATTTTCTGGCTGTATTCGCCGATTTTTAAACTTAACAGTCAAACTTTCACGATGAATAAAGTTAAACTCATAAATGCAGCGTTTTCTGTGTTATCTTCAATTCAAAGTTCGATCCCGCATACAAAAAATCATACTCTCTTTTCTTCAAATCAGATTCTGAAATAATTTCAGTATATCCTTGACCAGACGATATCAGGTCCAAGCAGTTGGTCTGGTATGGACATGTGCGAAGGATGGCAGACGACCGGTTGCCCAAGCAGGTCTTAAATTGGGTTCCTCCCGGAAGGCGACGGCGTGGACGTCCTGTGAAAGGTTGGCGACAAGGGGTGGAGGAGGAGATCAGAAGGTGCCAATTGCCTGATGATCTCTGGGAGGATAGGGGGCAATGGCGATTGGGCGTCGCAGAGCGCGAGGCGGCGCTATAAAAGCGACTTTATGTACGTGTATCCTTGACCAAAGGACGATCATTTTCAGCGACTAAGATAATTTATTCCGGCTCTCATTAAGTCCGTCATGGAGTTTGTTGGTTGACGGAACCAAACTCAAGGTTCGGTGAGCCGAATTTTCAGTTCGACAAATTGAAAATTTAATCCTACGAATCAAAGAATGTTGACTCGTAAGGAACATGCTCCATTCAGACCGACACTTTCCAGCTCGGTGAACCAAGACCATCGGCTTATTGAAATACTTCGGTTCTAGCAAATTCAAAGGTCGGTTCGCGTAACTACTCTCGGTTCGCTTAGCCAAGATTTTCTGCAAAAAGAAATAACTTACAAAAGTGATTATCAGCTATGATAAATGTCACTGACCTTTGTCCTGTTAAGCTGACCAGATGGCTAGATAGCGAACTCATCTCTTCGCTCATCTTGTTGTTGCGATCGTGAAAATGAGAGAAATTCTTCACGAAAATACTCTTGATCAGCTCTGGATCTCGGATCATTAGGAACGGTTTCGTCAGCTGGTAAAATCCACCAAATTTATGGCCTTCGAGTTCATCATATATTTGTTGAAAAACGAAGGTCATGGGTGTCCGTCGAAAGAATAAATCCTTGGTATGGCCGAAGGGCACATCGACCTCCCTTGGAGTTGGCACACCCCGTCTCTCCCAGTAAGAGTATTTATTTCGAATGTAGAATACTACGAAAAGGGTAAAACTAGAAATAACCAGCAGCACAGTTGTCACAGACGGTAAGGAGCTCAAAATAAGTGACGAAGACATTTTGATACCTGTAAAATACCCGGAATCAAATAAATTAGAATCTTATTCCTGCAAAGACTGGATGTATGGAAAGGGACCTTATCTTTCGGAAGAAAATTTTCCATAACTTTTTTCAAGAGTTAAAACCACTTTTTTGTATAGCCTAAGAATTTTTTTTTTTTTGAAACTTTAGAACTCTTTCACTAAAACACACGTGGTATGGGTATGTGCTTACCATAGTGTTGCACGTAAACTGAGATTTGAACAAGATATAAGAAGAAGAATAAATCTGCGATTGTATGCAATTCAATTACGCTTCTGATTTTCAAGAAGAAGGAAAAGACAGAATTTCTAAACATGCAAGTGACTTCCCCAAAATAAGCATTTCACCGCAAAGTACGCGAAATGGGAATTGAAACTAATTCGTACTCATTTATGAAGAGACGCTATGCGCATTTTTAGATCAAATCAACAGTTAGTGAGAACTCAAAATAATCTTCAGATTTCTTGTAGTAAAGGTCATTTAATGAGGATATCTCAATTCCTATGGTATGTAATCAAGGCACTTGACTTAATGACCAACGACATCCACTTGGTAGTATTCGAATGTTGCTGCTGTACTTGAGGAATGGCAGAATAACCTCTCAATAATATCGTGCAACCACTATAGCCGTATTAAAAACATAAATTTTGAGGAGTTTTAGAATGGGCATACTTATCATAAATAGCTTGGATAAGTAAGATAGTTCATATCGTACTTAAGTTATCTAATGCACTCTCTTGCAAGTCCAACTATATACAGGGTGATCCAAAAGTCCCTTCCACCCCCTCTAACTTTTTACCTAATTGAGA